TCCATGATTGTTATGCATTAGTTAAAACACTGGAACTAATTCTTCTAGCTTACAGCACTGTGACATTCTTAGGCGAGCTGCTGAATCTGGAGGATTGCTTGTGGATGCAATGACTAATACCTTAGACAGTTCTAAGGAAAAATTTTCTTCTGTTCCATTGATGGTTGTTGAGAATGGGTGTGGTAGTCCATGTATAGACTTAAGACAGGTCAGCTCTGAGCTGGCTGCTGCTGCAAAAAATGCCGATTTGGTGGGAGAACCCTTCTATTTATCTGATAGCATTCCTGTGGATTTAAGAAAATTAAGGATCATAACCTAATTGAGCTTTCTTTATTTGACAGATAATTTTGGAAGGGATGGGGAGAGCTCTTCATACCAACCTTAATGCCCAGTTTCAATGTGATGCTTTGAAGGTAAGGTCATCTAGTTTATGCTTTACAGGTAGTGTCTCAGTTAGCTGAATTTTTAATTTGGCATTTTCATTTTTCATCTTGTTTCAGTGTAGAGTTACTGAGTTAATGTTTCTCTAAGATTTCTTGTTCTCTTATCTAATATCATTTTTCCTGTGTGGAAAAGTTGATTGCTTTGGTTTCCTGAACTCATTAGGACTCATCAAAGGGAATGTTTTTCTCACCATGCCATATCTGTGATTATGCATATATACTGTCTTCTCATAGCCCTATATTTTTTAATTTTTTCTATTTGTTCATCCATCTCTGACCTATACTTGAGCTAATCGTTGTGGCTCCTAGGCAACCTTATTGCACATTGTTGTGAGTTGACTTTAACTGCAAGGCTGCATCCCTATATTTATATAACTCTCATGTTAATGGTGTCTTCTGTTTCTTTACTACTGTCACGAATGTGCTATTTTACTTCTCTATTTCAATATGAATGTGAAACTGCACTGTTTAATATATTTAAATTTTTAGCGAGGTCTACTGCCCCCTACCTGCATGTCACAGTGTTGATGGGACGGAAATCGGTCGGCTCATATGACTCATTTTTCTTTCCCTCCCTCTTTTTTTCTTATATATTTTTTGTAGCTTGCAATGGTGAAAAACCAGAGATTGGCTGAAAAGTTAATTAAAGGGAACTTATACGACTGTATTTGCAAGTACGAGCCTGCTAACTGAAAGCTTCTATGTACGAGCTCTTAGTCGAATGTTAACGACATCCTTGACTGTTATGTTATCCCTTTTTCGGTCTTGTGCAATATATAATTTTTCCCTATATTTTTAGCATTGAAAATTGCTTAATAGATAAAAAAGTATTTATCGATCTGCCTTTGAAAATCTTGGATGTCAAAGGATGATGTAATGTAACTATATTGTGTTCATATAGTTTGTTCGTCCAAGCTTATTTTTCTGGAAACTCGGTAGGATTGGTTGACGGGAGTCGAAAAAATTCTTAGATAGGATTGTTTGCCATAGACGTACTCTATTCAACATAAAACATGTTAAGGTTACATAGATCGTTTTCTTGAAAGTTTTGATTTTGTAAAATCATGAACTGTAATTCACGTCCCCTGTAAGGAATGTGATTTTTGATGACTAGGAATTATTTTTATTCTTATTTTGGCTCAATGGGTAAACAAGACTGAAACCTTTGAGGAAAGGATTGTTTTATTTTAAGCTATTTTTTATTTTAATTATATATTTTAAAAAAAATTGTTATAGCTAAATAATATGAGATTTTTTAATATGCTTATGTACTGAAACTCAGATTAGAAGTTGGACTAACTGGTGGTATTAAAAAATTGGTAAACCGAACATATATCCAATTTGTTTAGTACAGAATTGGAAGAGTAAGAATCGGTGAAAACTAGCTGAATCAGTAAAAATAAATTGCTTCTTGTATATTAAAATCTGTGGATCGAATTTTTCACTCTTTGTAAATATGTTTAAATTTGGTTATATTCTTAAAACAATATAGTTTTTTTTTTTGTTTTTTTTTTAAAAGTCAACAGATAATAAGATTAGATAAAAACATAACTACAAGAGGCATTTAGGCCAATAAGAGCACGTGACCTACGACAACAACAAAAAATCTCCTTCTCAACCATCCATGTAAAAAAGCGTATGAAGAACATAATTCACCTTAAATAATCTAATATATTCCTCACTTGATAGCTTAGCGATAAGCTAAAAGGACATGAAATATAAGGATTGAGATTCAAATATTGGCACCTGAAATGTAAGGATTAAGAATTGAAACTCCTTGAACATGTTTAAGGAGATATATTACAAAAAAATTTAGTCATGTTTATAAAAATTTAAAATATATTTTATGTATAATCAGTCTATGAGCTTTTAAGAAAATATAAATTTTACAATAAAGTTGTTGGTTTTTAAAGAGTATATAAAAGCACAGTGGGTAACCCTAACACATCCATATATCAAATGCACAACAGTTCCATTAGCTAGATGATTGTTCAAAATACAAAAGAAAGTTTTCTTTACAGCTTCACTGCATAGCAAAGTCTACCACTCAATAGTAACACTCTTAAAGGTGTTTCCAGTGATCGGCGTTAAAAAACTTGTTTTATTAAAAAATAAATTAAAATCAATAGTAGCATCCATCTCAATGATGAGGAGATAGATTAAATTCTAAAGCAACGTTAGATCCCCCGGTTGACCTTATCATTTCCATGCTGAGCTTGACATTGTACCACCAAGTTTTCTTTGACATCCCACGCCAACCATTTACTCATGATTCAGGTTTCTGATTACTTCTTGGGCTACCTTTAGCTGTCCCACTAGTATTTAATAACCCAACCTATTTTCGCCCAAAAATCAATTATCTTTTTACCTATAGCAGTCCTTAAAGTTGGCAACGGTAGATTTTTCAATGACAATTTAGCTGTAGTTTTTTTTTTTTGTATTTTTTATATTATTTTTTTAAGTGAAACTTTAATTTTGATTAAAAATTTATACAAAAAATATTTAAAAACTATTTTCATGTTAGTTTATATATATTTTTTGCACGCATATATATATATATATATATGCGCGCGCGCATCTAACTACGCTACATTAACAATTATTATATGGTGACACATGATAAATTTAAATGTTTGACATGTAACCAATGAGAAATGATAAGGTCATTTTTTTATTTTATATATAAAGACTAAAACTAACAAAAAAATTTGTTAAAATCAAAGTTAACTATATTTACAACAATTAAAAACATATTACATCCTTTTAATTTTACAAAAAAAAAAAAAAGTTATGCACACATTATTTAAAAAAAAAAATGTTTACTGATATTTTGGTGAATTACTTGTTATGCTTTGATAACCTTAATATTTAACAAAATAGTTCATTTATTATCCTCTCTGCATAAGCTTGGTACGGCAAGTATTAAAGAGAGCTGGGTTATTTATAACTTTACAAATTATTTTACCATAAAATATGAATTATAAAAATTGTGAAACAAGTGACAAACTTCAAATACGTAACCGTAGTCTATAAGAGAGGAGCTGTTGATTTTTGGAATGCAGGAAACCATTTTCTAAGAGTAAACATGGATTAGATTTGTATAAATCCAATCTAAATCTATTTTAAATCTAATTATGTAGATTAAATTTTAAACTAATCTATATTGCTTTTCTAAAATTTGGATTAAAACTAATTTTAAAATTTAAATCTAGTTTAAAACTGAATTTTATAATATATTTTTTTAGCATAGCAAAATTTATAAATATATATATATATATGCATAATATTTATACTTTTATTTTATTTAATATAAATTCTAAATTAATATATTAAAAATATTATATTATATTATATTATATATATATATATATATATATATATATATATTATAATAGTGACCGCAAGTAGTAAAATTTAACAAAATATAAAGCATATGTTTGAGCGCAAGCTTGAGGCTTGCGTAAGGGTGTTGGAATATTTGGGTGTAGTAAAACTTGCATAAGAACGATTGTAGGAATTAACCGCAGAGCATAAAAACCGGTTTTATTATATGAAATCTAAAATTTATTTTAATCCAAAAAAAATGGATTGAATGTCTTATTTTAAAAAAAAATCAGATTATTAAATTCAATTTATTTTAGTTATGAATTGAATTATTAAATCTAAATTTTTTGTATATCCCTACCATTTTCCGAGAAGAGAGTTATAAACCAGGCTGTTGGAGGGCAAGAGAGGGAAACCTCTGCATTTTGTAACTTTGATTAATCCGAGTCAAAATTTTAAACTTATTTAAGGAAATTAATTTGTTGCAGAACCTATATATATATATATATATATATATATATATATGAAAATAATGAATAAAAAATAACATCAACTTTAGTAAGAGATATTAAAAAAATTATTCAAAAGAATTGTACTAATGACGTCCTTCAATTTAAATTGTTGTTCGGTCGTTTTACCTTGAAATGCCATATTTATGAAAATACTAATTATATATTTGCTATTCAATCTTTGGATAACTGAAATTCCACCCACGAAAAGTTTTGGTCCCATGAAAAATAATATTACTCAAATGTCTCACAAGAAGGAGCGATAATGCATTAATATTTAATAGTTAAGGACACATAATAACCCTACAAACATAGAAATAAATATAATAATGTTCTACTGCGCATTTGCTTCAACATGAAAAGAACTACCCATATCATCCTCGATGTTACAACAAATCCTAAAGCTTTCAGAGATCTGCTGCGCATACAAAGACAATAATACATAAATCAAAAGGCAACACACCGAGGCAGTCAATTTGGACACTGAAGCTTCTCATTCACGCTCTTTTTGTTAAGTCAATAGTAACAGAAGACCAGCTTGGCAGAAAGAAACACCTACTACTATTCTGCCAAAGAAATTAATCCATCAAAAAGGATTTATGCATGATAATATAATAAATTTATATAAGATAGGAACTAGATTGATTAGCTCATCAAACTCATTACCCAACCCCAGAGAGAGCTCATTATCGTTGATCATATATCATGAGTCACATTATTAGTTCTAGACCAAAGGGTTTGTTGTGGAAGGTCCATAACCGGTCCATGATCCTGAACAATTAAGATATCCAAGCTGTGACACTTTTTCAGCGTCAGAGCAACCTTGATCTTGCCATTCAAGAGACAATAGCTTAGGGTTTGGCTTCACATCAATTGAACCATCGTGGTTGTCACCTCCATCATAGGGCAACATAAGTCGCTGGCAGGAGTAGTCCATTATATAACTTCCAACATTGCTAATGCTTCCATCAAGGGACATGCCCCCAAATGCCGGGGAGCAAAGACCTTGATAATTTAATGGCAATCCATTGTAACCACTCATATCACCAAGCTCAACACCACCACCCCCACCCACATCACTGTTTTCAAGAAAGTCAAAATTCCTTGTAGAACTCCTAATCATACCATTGCTTTCCATGAAATCAATAGGCCTGGGGTTCTCGATAATGCCAATGTTATACTTGTTTTCCATAAAATTAGGGTTTCCTAGTGCCCCGGCATTAGTCCCAAGTAAATTGTTGAGGTGGGAAAATTGCACATCTGGGAAGGAAAGTTGGAGATCTTTGGGATTATGATGATAAGAGGCTCCATACTGTGTTTGATTTTGATTAATAGCTGTTTGGTGATCATTCGGTTTCTTAGTAGAAACTTTCTTGTTCTTTCTGCAACCACCACCCACAGGAATGTTCCTAAGAGTGCCTCCTTTGGTCCAGTACCTCCTACAAGTCTTGCAGAAGTACCTTGGCTGGGAAAGACTATAGTTGTTGTAGTAGCAGAACTTGGTGTGGGTTGATTCACACCTGGGGCACTTGAGGGCATGCTCTTGCGGGGGTCTTAGCCTCCTCTCAGTCATTGGCCTTGAACACTGAAGCATGTCACCAGATGGTGAAGAAGAATCCATCCCACACTCCTCGTGACTTGTGCCCTGACAAATTTACATAAAGAAGCCACAATTAGTGAATATGAAAATATGTTACGTACTGTCAAATTTTTGTCATTTTAGATTGTGTCATTTTCTTATATTCTTCCGCTAATCCTCCTCCTTTCTTTTCCTTGTCTTTGTTTTTTTTTTGTCATTTCCCCCTTTTATGTAACAACACATTCTTCCGTCAAAAATAATAAAGAAATATGCTGCATAGTGCGACGAGAGATTATTATGCTTCTACTTCTTGTTTGATACATACAGCAGCTTACTTTTTAATATAAACACTATACTGTAAAACCGTTGTTTTCATCCCCGATAATATTTTATCACTTTGTATGAAGTATATATGAGGACTTAATGGGAGTTTAAACTCATCATCACCCCAATCAAATTAAATCAACTTGTACAGAAATCATATCAACATCAAAACATGCTTCTCACAAGTATGAAAAGTAGAAGCAAACAGTGAAAGTATTTTCATATATGCACGGCATACCTGCAGCCAGTGGTCTGATGGTTCCATGCAGACGTGGAGAGAGGAAAAACCCATTCACAAGAAAATTCCACCAGCCGGGAGAAATAAGAACAATAGAAGTCTCCTTAACAGTAATAGCTAGGAGAAGTTTGTTTACCTCCTTTGTTTCTCTTAAGTGCTCCCAGTGGTAGTAATGTATTATGATGATCAGTGTGAGCAGAGAAAGAAGAGGGTTAGCTAGGAAGTGTAGGTGAAGAGCGGAAAGTGTTGAGTGAGGAATGTAAGGGAATGAAGAGGAATGTGAATTATGTGACAATGTGAATGTTACATGGGACGGGACAGTGAATAAGAAGGAAGAAAAAGGTGAGGGGAATGAGCTGACATATTGTACTCATAAACCCCGTCGGTGACAGAAAACAAGTGGGCCCTTAACCTGTCTCCCTATGCTGACCCCACGCCTTATCTCATCTTGACCATACATTAATAAAAGAAAAATGTTTAATAAAGGTGTCTAAGTTTAATGAGAGAAAAATAAACAAATATAACAAATAATATAATATAATATAAAAAGAGAAAAATAAATAAATGAGAAAGTGTTGATAGTATTAGAGTATTTATAAATTAATTAAATTGAAATTAAAATATCGGATCACTAGGAAAGTGAATAACAAGTGAAGGTTGGTGTGGGAATGGGATGAATTGGGAGATTAGAAGATAATTGTGAATGGGAGGCATAGGATAGGGGCAAGATACACACGTCCCACCATAGTCCTGTCTGAATGAAGTGACAGAAGCTGAGAATATTTGGGTCCTCGATAAAGAACGCATACCGAAAGAGCACTCTAATTGTGGGCCCCTAAACCCACTGGACCCACTCTCCCTCCTCCCACAAGCAAGGCATATATTCCCACTCTCCCTCCATGCTCCTCACGTCCCTCTCTAATTTCTCCCTGTTCTCGTTCCATTTTAATTTTCTTTCTCACTCCAATGGTCTTCCTTAGGACAATAATCATCATAACAAATGTGCATTTAGTTTATTTTTAATTTATAAATTTATTTATTTATTTATTTATTTTCAACAAGAACTTTCTAACACTAAATACATTCAAAACTGTTTCAACTTAATTTATAATTTTACATTTGAGTCTAGTTCAAGTAATTTTACATTTACTGTAATGACCTTATCTGGTTCAAATAAGATTGTATTTGGTGAATGCATGTATTCTAAAAGAAATTAAAATAAAAGCAATTATTATTATTTTAAATAATACCCATTCTCAATCTCATGCTAATAATATAATATGATCTCCTGTTTAATAATTGCATCATGTTTCAAATTGATTAACTAGCGTTAATTTCAAACATCAAAGGAGATGTTCCTCGACTAGGCGGGTTTTGTGGAATAAACTGACAAACTTATGTCCGAAGTGTTGACACCTGAAAGAGCAACGAGGAAGGTTGTAGCTTTGTCCACTAACGAGTAGATAATTGGTGTGAGAGGAACACAAGCCACTCTACAGGGGACCCCGAACCCAAAGTACATGCTATGTCGGGTGAATAAAGTGAGAGGTTGCCCATGTTACCCTCGTACACCTGAATGCATTGCTAGGTTTTCTTTAGATCAGGGTGTATATTATATATATCATGAAGATATTGTCTTTCAACTTTCTTTGGGTAATCCTTAATTTTCTGTCTGCTTGAGCACAAAGATGGATTGACGGATTATTATTCTTTCAATCATAAGCATGCTATCATTGCTTCTTGATCTGTGTATTCTAGCTTTTGCGTCGTGGAGTGTTCCAATAATATAGTTTCAACTACTCGAGTGAGCAATGATATTGAAGTGATGCGCAAGTATTCAATAGAATTCGGAGATCTAATTTCATGCACCACAAGTCTCAACTCTTAAATATAAATTTTTATGCAACGTGCAGAGCTAATAAACATTAATTATGTAAAACCAATAATTATGCCGTGTTTATACTTTATTTGTTTGAAAAACAAAAATAAAGAAAATTGTATTAGAATATTAATTTTTGTTTCATTATCTTATAAAAATGTAAAGAAAATGCGAAGAAAAGATAAATAAATACCTACCATTACCCAATGATATCATATTCTTACGACAGCTAAAGCAGTAAAAGAGACAAAGTTGTATAAGTTTTCTTTGGACTTACCAGAAAAGGACTTTTTTTTTGTCATAAATTATTATTTCAGTTGATCATGACATGTCCGTAGCTAAAGGTTTCTGTACGTAAGATTACAGATTCAATAATGCTTTAGTACGTGTTCTTGGCTTTTTAATGTGAATGTATGGACTATTTGTCCATTAGTAGTTATATCTGTAAATTATCACGTAAATCGACCATAAGTATTTCCTTTTGGGATATGTAGAGGAAAACTTTAAAATTGCCCAACAGCCTTCGTTCTCAAGCCAAATATATCTTTATCGCTCCAAATGCATATTTTGCTTCGTTTCTTATTTCTTTTTCTTCCTTCTTTTCCTGAAAAATTAAATGAAACCTCATAAAAGGCCAAGTCGATCGATCCCCCCTCAAGTTTAAAAGTATAATTTTTTATCAAAAAATTCAAAGCTGGGATTTTCTAGGTTGATTTTATTTCATTTTTTGCCTCTAGAATGGTAGAATTAGATACTCGTTCTCTTCCTCTTCATCTTTTTCACCCGATTTTCTTTTGGTTAATAATATATATGGTATTAATTATTAAAGTATGTGTATACCACTCACTTTTTGCCATTTTAATTATCGGCAAATTTTAATTTGTCCTGTGAGCCACAGTTTCGTGCATGGAAAGAAGGCGTGTGCAGATAAAAATAAAATAAAAATCAGAAACCATCCGAAATAATGATATTCAAAACACAAGATAGTATTAATTAGTTGGTATTCTAAAAATTACTGGTTACGAAACAAATATTTTTTATTAAAAAATTCTTTATTGTATAAAAATACAAATTAAAGATATTTAATATTGTTAGGAAATTAAAATTAATTGATGATAAATAACAATTAGTATTTCTTAATATCTTACGTACACTCGTTGGCTACACCCATAAGACATTTGTCAGAAGTTCAGTCATGACCGATTAAATTGTTTTTTACTTATTTGTAATTTTTTTAATATACATATCTTAAAAATATTATACAAAATAAAAAAGAGCTTCCAGAGACTTTTAGTCATCAAACTTTTTCCTTAGAGCAACACGACAGTAGAGTAATGATGTTTTTGTTTGGTGAACGTAAAAGCAATGATATTTAAACAGTTTATCCTCATAAATTCCTCACTGATTTTGAAATATAAGTACTTTGATAACACCTTGATCCCACAGTTTAGATTAAGATTATGAGAAATTTGTAAAACTAGGTGTCATTTCATTAAATATTATTATTATCCTTCCAATAGGTTAATAAGCTATATGCCATATGTGTGGTCCGCGGTATGATTTTGGTCAAAAATTCGAATGCTTATCCCTCGTAATGGGTGCAGTCAATTTGGTTCTGTGGTTCAAATCCAAAGGATGTGCCCCCACCATGAGAGTTCTTTTTAATCCATCCTAAAGTTTTCCATGCATCCTAACATGAATAGCAATATGATGCAAACAAAACCAATTAAAAAAAAATCCCCAAGCACACTTTATAGCACCTTATATAGCTCCCGATCCCACAGCCACATAATAGCAATACATCTTTAGGGCTAGTGTGAACTCCAAAGCAAAAGAGTGAAGCACCAATGCAAATCAACATCTATAATCAAATCCAAATTAATAATCTAACCATATATGTTATGCATGTAAAGAGATCACGTATCTAGCTCTTTAAATTCAAGTGCTTAATTATAGTGTATAACTTATTTATATGCAAATAAAATTCATGTACGTTATATTTATATGATTGCATGCGCATGCGCGACACTGGCAAGTGCCAATGGTGACTGCGGCGCAGGGAAATGAGTAAACTAAAACTAAAGGGGAATGATAACATCTGAGATAAATTGTGAGTTGGAAGTAGAATTTTGTTTTTTTATAGATGAACGAATCTATGGGGCAGTGGATGGACACTGGACAGGATCTTTATCCAGCACACCACTATATTCTATTTTAGCCTTATGTGTCATGTTGGTTGTTGCCTTTTGTCCCCTCATTTGAAATCTACCTACCCATATAGCTCAGCCATGAATCATGATTGGTGTTTCTGCTATTTTGCTCCCTGGTTCAATCCTTTAAGGACCCACCTTCTTCTATATGTTCATCAAATACTTTCCCTTATCTCATTATTTTCACGAGTCAGGACCTTTTAAGTTATGGTTTAATTTTTGGTTATAACGCTACAAACAAAAAGGAGCCTGTGGTTAAGTTGAGTTCAGCTCAATATGTAAAATTTGAATTTAAAAAAAAAAGTCAATGCAAAAGTTATTTAGTTTGAGAAAATAACTTTGGTTTTTATTTGTAAAGATTTTTATGAAAAACAGTAAAAATAATTTTATTATTGAATTTCTTCTGGTTTTTATACAATTTTTTATAAATAAAAAAATAGAAATAAGGTAGCTAGCATTCCTGTAATTAAAAATAAAAATAAAAATATTCTAAAATCAAACAATACTCTGTGTTATAAAGCTCAAGCTGTGCCTTCCTAGTTGTTAGAAAGGAAGATCGAAACAATGTTGCGCGTGAAAAAATCATTACCTTAAATAATCATTAAACAAAACTTGTTTGCAGAAGCTTTAAAATGTGAAAATGAAGCTGAATCTAGATGATACATTAATATCAAGGTAATGGTTATGTGTTGTTTAATTCATACTTCTAACATTACTAAAGATTAGTTAAAGGGGAAAAATAGGATAGCGTATAAAGACTTAACTAACTAGGACATGTAGTAAGTGTAGGACACATAAGTGAAATAAGAAAGTACTTAAAAATTTTACTTTCTTGTTTGTTATTTAACATGTTTATGACTCGTTTTTTAAAATAAATTTTATTTTAAAACAATACTTAAAATACACCTTTATGTTTAAAGAAAGTAAAATAATAATAAATTATAGTTCATATATATTCTTTGAAAAAGACATAAAATAAAATGAAATTAATTAAATCTTATACTGTGCAAATTAATAAACATGCATATTATATATATATATATAATATAAAGTTTTAATGTCAAATTTTAATATAAATTAATTTTAAGCTTTATTTTATTTTTTAGCTAGTAAATAAAATTTATTAAATATTAAATAAAATGAGATTTAATAATCTACAACTAATTTTGGTCATTTATACCCAATATACCTAAAGCTTAAGACAACACACACTATTTTCTTTTTTTGATAGTGAGTATCTGTATTACATGGGTATTTTTTAAAATTTAAGTAAATTTAAAATTATAAATAAACTATTTTTAAATGAATTAAAAAATATATTTAATTCAAAAGTATGTAGTTTAAATTTAGGATAAAATATAAAATCTAATAAATTAAAAAATTAAATTAACAATAAAAATATTTGAGACAAAAATAATTTAAGCACATAAAAAATTTAAAAATAATTAAAGCTATAATTTGAAAGGAAAAAAAAAAGAAAGAAATACGTGTGTAGATAATTTTTACATGAATTGAAAATAGACACACTATTACGTGACATATATGATGATTAATATAAAATGACACCGTGTTTGTTGTTTATTGACTTTTTGTCTACATAACTTACGTTAATAGTGCCTACACAAGTATCTTTCTTCTTTGAGGGCGAAAATGGATGAAATAAGTCATTATTAAATAAATATAATCTAATTTAATACAAAAATGTTGATCTTATTAGAAATTTTTTCTTTAAAATTTGGGATTCACTAACATTACAAAAAGGCTAATGCTTATAGTACTAATTCCTCATCAGTCCAATAGAAAAAAGGGGTCTACAAATTAAATGATGGATCTATTTCGGACTGCTTTCTCTGGATGGCTCAACAAAAACCCGCCTCTTACTTTTGGGCCTAGTGGAGTTATTGGGCTAAGAAAAAACTCAATAACGTGTTTTGTTTGCATAACATTTGGACACCCACAATCGATTCCTCAGTTAATATTTGAATATTATTGACAAAAAAAAAGGTTAATATTTCAAAATTAAAATCGTATTAGATATAAAATAAAATGTAATTATATTTTTTTTAAAATTTGTATACATGCTTTGTCCGTATTCCCAATAATTAAAAATAAATCTACCAAAAGATGTCCCTGAAATTGTTGGAATTATCATTGCCCGTTCTTGCTGTTCCTCAATTTCTTTTATGACGATAGAAATTCATTGACCAAGTAATGAAAAGAAAACAAAGTTTCAACTTTAACGAATAGTAAAATTGAGCATATAGCCAATATTACTTTCAAATCCTAACAATAAAACAAAAGAATAGGTTAAGATAAGTCTTCTCTTTAAAACTTAAGGTGTTTGAATCTTGAAAAGAGAAACAATCTTCAACCAAGTAAATGCTTAAGTTGTTGACATTCTCTCCATTGACTAACATTGGAGCTTGAGCTTCAGCCTACTCTTATTCATTTCTTAACCATAAACCTTCACGTGATGGATACTCTTTACTCTCTTCACACAATATGACAACCCAGAAACCTTTTCTTGTTTTACTTTACGGGTTCTTATCCCTTTATTCTGGGGGGAAGGAAAAGGGACTGGTAGAGGTTAAATGAAACTTAGTTAATTAAGTAATTAAGAAAGGGAAAATCAATAATATAATTTTAGGTGAATAAGATGCCATTGTAATTTATATATATCAAAAAGGCAGATACTCTTGGATCGCATTAAGCAACTAACCAAATACTTAAGTTTAGAAAATGAAAGGCTACAAAAGAGTTATCAAACAATTGGGTTTCTTCGCTAAAACCATAGAATAGATTCCTTATTTAGTGCAAAGGCATAACTTGTGACAACTTTGTCAAAATCCTTCAAACCTTGCAGAATAAGTATTGCGCCAAACCAAGTAAGCCTGTACCTAATTAAATAGAGCAGGCAGAGTTTTTAAAAAATAAAAAATAAAAGAAATTTTATTATAAAGAAGACAGAAACAAGTACAATAATAGTGGACAAAATAAAGATATCCTAAATATATATATAAAAGAAAAAGCAAAAACCCAATGAACTGATTAACTCAACGTTTTTCCCTTTCCTCTGGGTTTTGTTTTATCGATGATCTATGTCCGGTTGTTTCGCTTAATAGATCTGAAAGTAATAATACTGTTCCATTGGAAACTAAGATCAAATGATATGAGTGATACTAGTTATCTGCACGACGTTATAGCATGCCTAGTTTTATGATTAATACATTAATTTTATATTTATTAAAAAAAAATTACCTTCTCAGATCAACCTAGTTATTATCACCAAATGTGAAGTTAGGCCCTGGATGAAAGACTTGGTAGTAGGCTTGAGGGTCCTTAATAATTGTTAACACACACCACCCACTCATTCGTCAGCGACATAGATGGAGAACGTGGATTGTATTGATGATCTTGTAATGTGTTGTTGTCAATGGTGGACAGAAGCAAGATAAATCATGTATCAAAGTAGTTCACGTAAAAGGTAGGGCAGATTTTTCAACCATTATTGCACCTCTAATGTATAAGATCGTAGTTCAAGTTAAGGGTAGGGCAGATTTTTCAACCATTACTTTACCTCTAAGGCTCTAACTATTGGGCTAAGCCTCCTTAGGTTTGGATAATTAATAGCAATTGTTTTTAATTTTGGTGGAACAAGTTTGAAATATTTGAGAGTCAAAGATCTAAACTTATACGTTGATGAAGAACTTATTCAAAAAATTAAAACCAATAAAAAATATCTTTGTTTAGTTTTTAATTTTATATATATTGTAATTATACCTTAACTTGAAAGTAGAGTTAAATAAAAATTGGATATTTTTGTCGTTGCAAGAAAGCTTCTCCCCCTCACACTGTTTCATTGATATTCTAGTAGAAGAAATTAATGTAGGGAATCAATCCCTTTTTTTTTTTTCCTGTTTTTTCTGTTTCATTGTTCCTAAAGGTGAGAAATTATTGAGAAATGTGTTTTCTTTTTGTGGGATCTCTTTCTTTCCTAAACCATGATTTCCATTCAAGTGTGTCAAAATTAGCGCCACTACTTATACTTTGAGGTTTCAGAATTATGTAACGAATGCATATTTATTAAATTATATCTATTTTCTCAAAAAAAATAAAAATAATGATCCCTCTATTTAAAAAAAGAAAAGAAATTTGTGATATACCCTCTTTTTTCTTTTAAGATAATTGTTATTATAACTAATCACTTGAAACAAATGAAACAAAGGAGTGGTGATTATCCTGAAGTGAGAACTCGAAATTTCTGATCTATACCAACCAAATCACAGGGCATGAACACGAGAGATACAAGTTGGAAGCATTAAGAAAGGGATGGAAAAGAGTACAGATATTGCATTCATGATAATCAACAGTGACGGGAAACGCCCGGTCAGCACACACAAATGGCATGGTATATTAGGCATAAAATAAAAAAATGAAAAAAGAATGAGAATAAGAAACAGTGCGGCACAAGTAACAAAAGAGGTTGCAAAATTTGACCTTTGCCTTAATGCCCAAGGATCCACGTATGCATGGACAAAATCGTAAATTGACGAGTAGAAAGCCGGTTCTTGAAATTCCAAGTATGGCAATAATATGAATGTTTATCAGCGCTTCCCATGTGTTCCATTCCTTTCCACCGCCTCTGCCCAAAGTCCAATTTCCCTTCATGTGGCGGTTTCCGTTCTTCTTAAAACACTCTCTCTGTTCATTCTCCTCTTACATACTAATTCACTAACCTCCTTCGTTTCCTCTTGTGTCTCTGTTTTATTCTCCTTTTCTTTCACGCCAAGTTTTCTGTTTTTGTAAACATGAAACACTTACGCCAATTATTGCTCTCCCACGTCTTTTAATTTTTCTTAATTCTTTGCAAATAAATTCTCTCTCCCTACCAACTTTTTTTTATCCTTTCTTTTGTCTCCGCATTATGGAGCGGCCAATTTATAATTCGTTGGAGAAACCGCCACATGATTCCGCCCCCGCCGCCGACCAGGAATCTGAGGTTTCCGATTGCGAGAGCGTTCTTTCCACCGGAGAGACGGGATTTTACGAAGGCGGCGACCTCATCAGGAGCAGATTCGTTCGGGGGTTGGGCTCGCACGGCTTGAAACCCGAGGTGGTGGCGATTCGTAGGAATGCTAGTTCCACCGTGATGGCGCAGGCGCGTGTTCAGTCGTTCCAGATTTTCGCGAGTGCGGTGGCCAAATTGCGCAATGGCAATGCGAACGTGAAGTACGCTTGGTACGGTGCGTCCGGTAAGGAAGAGATAGCCGACATCATCCAACACGGTTTTGGCCCCTCAAAAAGTCATGGCTTGCGTCTCTCTCCAGAAGATTCTCCACTTGAAAGGCACGCGCAATTATATTTTATTTTGTTTATTATTTTTATAGTTATGTTGATTTGTGAATTCGAGTTTTTTATTTTCTGAGTTTACGAATTTTGTTCTTGCATTTGTGTGCGTGATGCAGTGTGAAGAGCTCTGTTGTCGACAAAGATGGTTTGAGGCACTTGTTGCTGTGTCGTGTTATCTTGGGGAGGACGGAGGTTGTGCCACGTGGCTCAGAACAATGTCATTCGAGTTCTGATGAGTATGATTCTGGAGTGGATGATATTTCGGATCCCAAGGAGTACATTGTTTGGTGCAATCGGATCAACACTCATGTTTTGCCAGAATATGTTTTGAGTTTCAGGCTTTCTTCCTTGAAAGGTTTAGTGCTCTTGTTATATTGTGTTTCAAATTTGCTAATTTTTGTAGTTTCTTATGTTGTTCTGAAATTCTGGGGGTTTAATTTTGCAGGGCATGTGAAGACTGGGGAACCTTTCAGACCTTCTTCCCCTTGGATGCCATTCCCCACTCTCATTTCAGTGCTTTCCAAGATTTTGCCGCCGCCTGATATTGCCTTCATTGCCAAGTTTCACAGAGATTATAGGGTAATTGTTTTGGGAGTTTGAGATAGTTGCTTGTTTTTTCTTTAGCTAAAATTGGTATTGAGCTTCCTCTGCTTTGCAGGAAAAGAATATTTCCCGACATGAACTCATACAAAAAGTGAGACTAATAGCAGGAGACAAATTACTGGTTTCGGTCATCAAATCTTTCAGAGCCAAGGTACTTATAATATTTGATCTTGTTAAGTTGGAGGATGTGTTTGTTGCAGCATATTTCTTTGTTTCTCTATGAAGTTACAAACATCAGACATATTGATAGTGTGTGTGCACGTGAACACTTTCTTTTGTACAACTTTTAGTTCAAAGTTTATGATAGTACTACCAGTCAAATTATACCAGCGCTAGTTAGTTGTCTTGCGGTATGCTTTCTGAATTCTTTGAATTGCCGGGCATTCACTAAGTAACCAAGAATTCTTCTGAACTAATATAAACTAATGATATGTAATTTGGTGAAAGATATCATAAAACACAAATACAAGTAATTATAGAGGTCTTTAAGTGCTGGAGCAGCACCAAAACGGTCTGTATAATAGGAATATAATAATAATAATTAATCCTAATAGACATTGCTTTCTCCCAGTTGCTTTTATTGATGCCCATATATTTGCTGGTTGCGATGAATGCATTGGGGGTCAGTCAATTTTGCCTTCCATTATATTTTGGAAAATTATAAAATGGGAATCCTAATTCTGGATTATTATGTATGGAAATCCTAGAAGTGAAACAGAGGTCATATGTTGGAATTAGTTTAACGTTTTTGTTAAAAAATGAGTTGGGAACAAGAATATGATTTGACAGCTCAATGTGAGATGTGCAGTTGAATTTATTTGGTGGTAGTCACTTGTTAGTGGCATAGAATGAGTTTTTATACTTAAGCCCCCTTCTCTATATGGAAAGCTGATTCAGAAATTGGTCCAGCTGATTTGATTCTGTAGTCTATTGTGTGTGTATGAACAAATTGTCGTAATTGTTATTCTTAACGAGAGGTAGCCTGTGTATTTCGTAATTTTTTGACGTTATCGATCAGCTATATTTCCATATCTTTCCATTTGTCTCTTTTGCTTTTATTTTTTTGAGTATGTATAGGTTTTCTAATCTACCTTGGTGAATTTGTCTTGCAGAAAATGCCTGCAAGCTTTAAGCAAACAAGGTGAAAGAATGGCAACCAGACAGCCAGCAGCGTGAATGAACGGAATGATTGTCCATACGAGTTCAATTAGCTATTACAGGAAGTGAATAGAATACTGGAGGAAACATAATGCTCATACTAACCAAAACTTACATTGAGGATGCAACCACTACATGATAAGTAGGGCGATATTTGAGACTTTAAAATTTTCTTAGGGTTATATACTTTTTCTTTTATGTTGATTAAAGTGTAACAGAAGAAAACACTTTCTCTTTGTTGTTAGTTACAATTACTGGTAGAAATAAATAACTTCAGACCTTTATCATGGACAAATTAAAGATCCGTACATTTTCTTTTCTTTGCACGCACTTGGGTTACGGGGGATTTTGTGAAAAATTAGATCACATACGAAGTTGGTTCAGTTTGATTCAAATGTTTGGGTCCAAATTTATTGAAGCAACAGTTTTATGATTTGAAACTTGATAAATTTTGGTTATTCAAATTAACTAACTCGAACTTTTTCATTTATTTATATGCACAAAATGACGTCTTTGAAAGGGATACTTACCTATATTAATTCGAAGTTCTTTAATTTTATTTTATATTGCACAATCGAGGTGAACAAACCCGGGCAATCATAGGGCAGCAAGGGTGTGCAATGATGTTTAGATTCGCCAAGGTTTAGTTTGGTTTTGGATCACATCGGCAGATTAATAATGGTTGGAACTTGGAAGGAAGAGCAACAAGCAATAACTTAATAGTTTCATCTTGAGCTCGTGAACCATCAAGATTGTCATTTTATCTCATTCCTATTAAGCACCTTTGATGATGTAGTAATATGATTTTACCCTTCGGCTTAGCAGTCATTAATGTCCCAAGTCGCAGCATTGGGGGTGCTACAGCTGGTCAGGCTTAGAGGGTGAAGCTAAGGCTGAAACTATTTTGGGAGTCTTTGGCTTAGGGTTGAGGAGGACGCATATAGAAGGGCTTCTCGAAAGACATTATCTCAAAAAGTCAAAGTGTGTTGCGTTGTGACTTGCATTAGAAGTAAGAAAGTGCAGTAAAGCCTTAGAGTTAGGTAATTTGGTATCGGGTTCACACTTCACAGACTCTATAATCAGAACAACGGTGACCCATTTTTATTGAGTTTGACCAAAGCTTACCCTGCTGCCAAAGCTAATTGAATATATTATTTCGAATTTATAATCAATTCTGAACGACCCTCTGGTACAAGTTGACGATCAAGTGATAGACACAGGAATGTGGTGTGCGAGACTTTTTCGCTAATTAACAAGTGGTTCCTTCTTCTGAATCGAAGTCTGGAAGTTGCCGATAAATACGTAACATTCAATTATCCGATAGAAGTGAAAAACATTTAGAATGTGTTTACATGAAATATCTCCAGTGAGTAATATATTTATTTATTTTTAATAAAATTATAATTTTATGGGTTAAAATTTGTTGTTTAGATGTTTAAAAATTGGTATCTGTTTAAAAGTGGAAATAGAAAATTTTATAGATCAAGGTTTTATACAGTTTTACAAATAAATTTCATTTCAAAATTTCACCTCTATTTATAATCAATAGCAAATTGACCCTGAAATCAAAAATGCCATTGGCTACGATTTTTACGTATCAGCTTTGGTGGGTACTTCAACTATCATTCTAAATCAATGAATAACATACTAGTCTTTCTTCTTCTTTTTTCCCCTCTATTTCGTCGATGATTTGCTATCTTACATGTATATATTTGTGGATTCCTTAGTTTCAAGAACCGAGCTCGGTCGTGAATCGTGGTGTGTTGTGTTGAAATCCTCAAACTCAATCCCTTCAACTTCTTGGTTTTTATTTTATTTTTGCATTTTTTTATCATGTCACTTTTATAAAAACAAAACAAAAATTTTAAATAGATTAATTACTTCAGAAAATTTAATTTCTTAAAAGGCAGTGATAAAAGGAATGGTCCAACTAGTTTTTGATCAACTTGTTTTATCTTTCTTGTCCAACACGGATGTATCAAATGCTGCTTTTTGGCAACATATTGGACCCAAGACTAAAGAAAAGAACTGCTTATTGGACCCAATATATATGTAAATTGCTTCTGTTGGGCAGCCATTTCATAGACCCCAAAAAACACACCTCATCAAAGTTAAGACTCTTCAAAATAAAATTGGTCCCTTGACCAAAACAATCCTAGTTCTACCTATACTCCTCCCCTTCAAGGGAGTCTCTTCCTTCTGAGGGGAGTTTTCCTTTGTTCCTTTCATTTCTTTCTTTAACTAATCATCCACACATCTCTTTCATAATAAAAATCACTGAAGACCAAAAAAGAAGTTCTAATAACAAAGGAACAACAGTCAGTAGGTGGTGTTTTAGAAGGTTAGCGAGGCATAGAATCGCGTATTGGGGATGAAATTGTTGTTGTCTTGGAAAAGTGAATGTTTGAATTGAGAGAATTATATGGTTATTTTGACTTATTAAGAGCAAGTGTACCTTATAATTTAGTATTCATTACTTGGTGCATAATTGTAATACTCTTTTTAAGAGTTCGAGATATCCTTCAGATAAAAGTTACATTAAGCTGCCCATCCTTTAACAATCTGATTGTTATCACAAGCTGTAAGGACAAGTTATTTTTTTCTTTTTAATTATTTGTTGGTAATATATATATAGACACTATGTAATATCTTCGAGTTTCTCGTCTACTTTTTTGTTAACAAAACTGATATTTGAGAAAAATAAATTGTTCCTGTGGTAATTATACTTGATTTTATCCTCTATTTTTCTAATTTGTTTTGGTTTTATTACAATATTACCTTAATTTGATTTTTGTTCACAAGTACGTCTCTTGTAATTTAATTAGTTTTAATTTTTTTTTTAGTATAGTAGCAGCACTGAACTTTAAATTTATGACCTTACCTAAAATATCTTAGTCCTTGACCATTAGTCCATTTTTAGTCGACTTCTAGTGACTTCTTGATCTGATTCATTATTTAACAACACAACATGAGGACGGAAATTCCCAATTGAAATGCCATGTTCTTTTGCATGGCGTTCATGCTATTACTCTCCACTTTTTTTTTTTGGTCTTAATCGAAACCTCACGCTATTGTATGTTGATTTGGAACTTGGTGCCCTTATTCGCCAAGTTTAATGCATGCCATTTCGTCACTTGATTAACTTAAAAATAAAATAATAAAACATTATTATTGTTTTAAGCATTTTGTTAAGAAAACTTTCAGATATTTCATTCGTGGATAAAGCTAACTTGACTTTTAACCAAGTCAATTCAACGTGTTCATTAAATAAGAATATCCTTTTTGTTAGAGCTTTATTCGAGTCAAGCTCTAGAACTCTATAAGAGGCAATCTCTTAAATTAATTCAAATTGTTCATGCCATTGAAAGTTGCATAATAGACTTATTTATAGAGACACGAGCTAACAGAATCTTAATCTTGTGTCTTTAAGATAAACTAATAATGATATATGTAAATAACTAAATCTAAAATAAGTTAAGTTAAAGATAAAGATAACATAACCAACTAAAGAAAATTATATCATTTGTTAAATAATATAATCAGTTGCTCTTGAAGGTTCACTTTTAATCCTTGGTTCCATTGCTTTATCTTCATAAGTCGTAACATTATCCCTTCTATGGAAAAGGACCTTGTCCTCAAGGGCTGCCTTGGAATAGAGATTGACTAGAATATTCCATGACTCCCAAGTAGCTTTTTCGCGTGGCTTGTCAGTCCATTTGACCAAAACTTGGTATTGCATTCATAAATGACACATGATGGAAGCAGGAGGAGTTGGACCCGAGTAAGCCTTCAGTAAGAAAACATGGAAAACTGGATGAATTCGGCTATTGGATGGCAATTCTTATTAGTATGCCACCTTGCCAATGCGTTCCAAGATTCGAAAAGGGCTAAAATATCGCTTAGAAAACTTAAAGTTGAGTTTGCAAGCTGCAGATTGTTGACAGTAAGCGTGAAATTTTACCCACACCCATTGGTCCACTTCATAGTTCTTGTCAAGTTATTTAGAGTCGGCATAGTTTTTCATTCGAGCTTGTGCTCTAGCCAGATTAACTTGTAGTGCGCTTTGAATTTCTTATCGATCGATCAGCATGGAGTCCACCTCGTCTACCAATGTCTTGCCTGACGTATAAGATGGCAATACCTTGGGTTAGAACCGTATAATGCTTGATGAGAGGTCATCCCTATGGCAGTATGATACGTAGTATTATAGTTTAACTCTACCCAAGGTAAGTATGTATGCCACTAATATGGATGATCGAAAGCAAAAACTTGACTACCTCAGTCTGGCCATCACTTTGTGGATGATATGTCGTTGAGTAATGAAGATCGATCCCCCCTGAATGCATGAGTTGACACCAAAAAACACTTAAAAATATTGGGTCTCTATCCGAAACAATGCCCTGCGGAAACCCGTGTAATTTAACTATATAGTCTAAGAATACAGCAGCCACAATCTTCACTGTGAATCTAGTTTTGAGAGGCATGAAATGTGCTGTCTTAGTCAAACGATCTACCACAACAAAGATTGCGGTAAACCCATTAAAAGAAGGAAGGCTGACGACGAAGTCCATTGAAATTTCTGTCCATGGAGTAGTGGGAATCGACAGAGGTTGAAGAAGGCCTTAAGACTTGGTAGTGATGTTCTTGGTTTGTTGGCATTGAATACATGCTGCCATATATTTTTCCACTGCTTGTTTCATCCCTTTCCAATAAAATTGTTCTGCCACTTGTTTATATGTTTTTAAGGCTCCTTCATGCTCTCCTTGCGAGGTAGAGTGAAATTTGTACAGCACCTTGGTCACTAAAGGAGAGTCCCGTGGGATGTATAATCGAGAACGATACAAAAGAAGATCGTTATGAACCTCAAAATTGAGGGAGCTGGTTCTGCAATGAAGTGCATGGAACTTAAGGAGTTCAGGCTCCAATGTATTGGCATTCCGTAACTCTGATATAATTGTGCTTTCCACTTGAGTGTAAATATGATAATGTTTAGCTGGCAATAGAGATAAGGAATCTGCAGCAGAATTTGTGTTCCTGGGACAGTAGACAATGTCAAATTCATACCTCAAGAGTTTAGTAAGATAGTATTGATGGTCGGGAGTTTGTATTACTTGCAATATCAACTTTTTCAAGCTCTTATGGTCTGCCTTATGGTAAACTTTTTTCCCAATAAGTAATGCCACCATCTCGCAACTGCCTGCGTAATAGCATAGAGTTCACGCACGTAAGTGGATGCATTGCTCATGCGATGTGAAAGCTTCTTACTAAAGAAAGTCAATGGATGACCT